AATACATTGACCTTAAGTTTATTCTTTAGTTTTTTGGAAGCATATTTATTTACATTTGTTCAATATTATTAATGAAAATACAATTATAATTTATGGACTATAATTTTTTCAAGAAATTTAAAAACTATTTATTTATTTATTTATAATAATAAATAATTATGAAGCCACCTCTCACCCTCAGGTTCCCTCGCTCTTAGTAAATTTCTGAAAAGGATAATTTGGTCATTCAAACAAACAAATCCATTTCAAAGAGACGAAACCCACGCCCACTCTCAATCTCCGCGCGTCGCCCCGGACCCCACGCAATAATCCACTTAGGCGTGTATTAAATGCTCCCACTAAATTTATCTCCTACGGTCACGTCTACGTGGACTCTCACTTCCTTGTCTTTAAAATTACCCACGTTTTTCGTTTTGTAATATGATTGGTTGGAGTTTTACAGAGCGCTGGAACTGTTCGTAGTTGATAACTCGAGTGATCATCTGAAGGAATCTTTTAACGCATGCCACGCGTCATGTGCTCCACGTAATAAAACTCACTCGTCTAAGTAACGCGTGGGCATATATAATTTTTTCTCTCTTTTGCTAAAACGTGACCAGAGCTCCCCCTCTCCTCTCTCTATAAATTTTTTTTAAAAAAAATAAAAATAAAAAGAAAAAGAAAAAAAATAAAACAACTTCGTATATTTACTTCTCTCTCTAAAAAGGCAGCGACTAGCAGGAGAGAAAAACGACTTTGGCTTATTTTTATTTTTATTTTTGGGTTCATCTCTTGAAAAACCTCCCGAATTCTTTTGTTTTCCGCCATGAAAAGGCAGCTCCCTTCTTAGTCCAGGTACTCTCTCTCTCTCTCTCTCTCTCTCTCTCTCTCTCTCGCTCTTTCTCTGTTTTCTATACATATATGTATGTGTATATGTATTTGTTTGTATAAACGACGACACGTTTATCTCTCTTTGTTTAACTGTATATATATGTTCACGTTTTGTTTATTTTCCAATCTGTAAGTTGCTAATCGGTGGATAACAATGAAGAACCACTTTATCAGGTTTACTGTTTCACTTCATCTCCTGCGTTTTGTTTGGCGTAATATAAATTCATCAATCTTCTTCTTCTTCGAAGAGGTATAGTAAATTTCTTTTTGTCTATTATTATTCTTTGCTTTTTATTTCTTTCGTTTATTATTATGCTACGGGATTCATTGTGTTCTTCGTGTGTTTTCGCGGCTTCTTGCTGAGTGGAGAAAACGAATTTTCTGGGATCATATTGGAATTCTCACTGTGAAGCGAACGGTTTTCTTGTTATATGTTTTTGGTTCTTCGTACTGATTGATTCTTGTTTTTCTCTTTTGTCGTTTGTATTTTCCTGTTCTCTATGTGTTTTTTTTTTTTTTAATTTTTACTACTGTTTTGCAGGTTTGAATGTTGCTTCGTTTTTGCCTGGTTGGTTTGAGATAAATGTACTTAATTGGTACTTATATTTATTACATATTTCGGATCCTTCGTTGCTGGTTTCGGGTTCCAAATGGATCTGTGTCAGTAACATGCTATCTCTTTATATGTGTTGCGTGTTTAGTTTAAATATGCTCGAAGCTATTGGTTTTCTGATCTTATTCAAATTATATATCTATTTTTTTAGTTTAAGTATCTTTTAAATTCGTGGGTGAGTTCTTTTTCTAGTACTGT